GAATTTTTGAAATCGGGAAGAGAAATGGTGGTTCGTCCTCAGTTGATCGCCGTTGCTGCTGTTGCTCGCTTCTTCTCTTTGTGTAACTGCTGCTTGTATTGATAGCGTAGGTATAAGTTATACCAGAAGGGTATTTTCGTCTAGTCATATATAAATTTTTTAAAAGGAGCGGCTAAAGTCTAAATACATTGAAAACTGTGGCTTTAAAATAAAAGCCACAGCTTTTAGTGGCTATTTGTGCCGTTCGCCCAACTTCGTACTCCCAAAGTCTTCAAAAATCACTCACACACACACACAAACATACACAGACGCACACAAACACACACGTACACACACCCTTTCACGTGAAGAATTGAATATTCAGTACGTAAAAAAAATGGAGTAAAAATTATATACACTTTCTTTTTTCTAGTCCAGCTATATATAATTTTTTACTTTTTTTTTTCAAACAAAGAAAAATGACTTGTATCTCCTTTTTTTCAGCCAACAAGAAATAACTACAATTGCTCCTTTCACTTTTAGATCTAAGCATTCATTGGTCCAATAACTTTTATAAAAGCCTATTTTTCTGATTTTTATTTATTTTATTCATCGAATTTTTGGCTTTGAACTAGTAAAAACTGGAGTTGATGGTAGAGCCTAACATAATTTTTTCACAGATTTCTTTTTCCTTTTAAGGTTGTTGAAGAATATGTCTATTCATGGCGGTATCTAGCCTTATAGTATCGAGCTTATCCGAATTCAGTGTTTTTCATGCGGAGAATAATTTATGTGTAGAAATTCATAAAAATTATAATAAACAGCAGAAACGAACCCATAATTTTTAAAATATAATAAGTTCAAAGCTAAAAATTATTAAAGCGATAGAATTTAAATTTTAAATTCGATTCCCTATTTAGTGATAACTGTTACCTTGTGCCTTAGCATGGTCCACCTATAACCAAAATTGGCCCCAAAACTTATCGACAGATCTAAGTATCTACACAAATAATGCTGAAAATGGGAAAAAAATAAATCCTAGTAAGGACAATCAACAACAACAACAACAACAACTCAGTATAATTCCACTTAGTGGGGTCTGGGGAGGGTAGTGTATACGCAGACCTTACCTAGGGTAGGGAGACTGTTTCCAAATAGACCCCCGACATCCTTCCCTCCAAGAACTTCCCACCTTGCTCTTGGGGAGACTCGAACTCACAACCTCTCGGTTGGAAATGGGGGTTGCTTACCATCAGAACAACCCCTCTTGTAAGGACAATCATTAAACCGAATAAACTGAGAAACATTTAAAAAAACAGACATAGCCAACTCGCATTTAAATCAAAGAGAAGAGAAACCACAGACAACAAAGCAGCCAATTTCTAGAACACCACACAAAAAATAATACTCCCTCCGTTTCAATTTACGTGAACCTATTTTTTTTTTGGTCTGTGCCAAAAAGAATATTCACTTTCCTTATTTGGAAATAATTTACTTTTATGCAATGATTTATAACAAATTCAAAAGTCTTCTCTCTTTTCTTAAACCCCGTATCCAATCAAATGAGTTCGCATAAATTAAAACAGATGGAGTATTACTAGGAGTAGAGTTTCTCTCCTACGTGTGGACTAGTAAACGCCTACACGTGTGAACTTTATCTCATATTACGTATGAACCAAGCAAACAACTATTCGTCGGGTACACACATACATTACATTATACGTTGACACCTCAAAAGTCAATCTTCTAATTTTCCACCGATTATTTGGTATTCCACTTAAAACTCAACAACTAATGGTACACCTCCCCTCACCTAATCATATCCCCCTCTCCTTTTTATCTTCCGTTTCGAATTAGTAGCCTCTATAATCTCAAACCGACGACCCAAACTTTCCACCTTTTATACCAAACAAACAAACGCTCTCTCTCTCAAACTGAGCGAATTTCTTGTGTTTTGTATTTGAAACTGTGAAAGGGAATCAGAGAATTTGCTGAAGAAATGCAGGCGAGCCGGGCGTTATCACAGTCTCCGAGTTTCGAATGTTATTCCAATAGGAATCTAGCTGAAATTGCTGATAGAGTTGTTGAAGAGTTCAGGGCTGAAAATGGAACTGAGACGGAACTTTTTGTTGATGATGATGGAGGTTTCACTTGCTTTGAAACTGGAAGAAAATTGAATGTGAAAGTGGAAGAGAAGGAGGGTAAGGATGAGAATCACGAGGAAGAAAATGAAGATGACGATGAATTTGAGTTTTCGTTTGTAAAAGAGTCCGAATTTTCACCGGTTGCAGCTGATGAAATATTTGACAACGGCAAGATCCGTCCGATTTACCCGATTTTCAATAGAGATTTGTTGTTACAACACAGTGGTTTCGTGAACGGTAGCTCTAATTCGAATACGAACTCGATATCGTCGGGCGAGGCTTCTGCTCCACCGAGATCAATTCGACTGCCGTTAAGGAAGCTTTTCATGGAAGAAGAGCGAGAAGCTAACTCGTCGTGCTCATCGTCTGAAGCCGACGATCTGGAAGGGATTCCGCCGGGAACGTACTGCGTGTGGAGGCCTAAAGAGGAGGAAAGGTCTGCCGGAGGTTGTAAGAAGAGCAATTCTACAGGTTCCTCAAAACGCTGGAAGTTTCGTGATCTCATTCACCGGAGCAATAGTGACGGCAAGGACACTTTCGTCTTTTTGACTCCTTCGCCCAAAAAGAGAGAAAAAAACAAAGCAGAAAAGACGACGACTGATGCTTCAAAGGTCGCCGCAAAATCAAACGGAGTTCCGGCCAGTGAAGTTTACCCGGCGATGCATTACGTGAAGAACGGAGGGGAGAAAAGGAAATCCTACTTACCGTATAGGCAAGATCTTGTAGGCTTCTTTGCTAATATGAATGGGTTGAGCCGGAATGTACAGCCACTCTGAGGTGAATACGCGATTAATGTCTTTATTAATTACGATTAAGTAGTTGATTTTTGATGGTTTTATTTTTGAAGTGATTAAATTAGGTTTAGAGTGATGATTAGAGTGTTTGTAAATATGTGGATAAGTTTTGTCTTCATCTCTGTTGATGGATTATGAATGAATGATGGTAGTATTTTCTTCCATTGATTTTGTGAGTTGTATGATGAAATGATGATTTGTAAAGTGATTTGAAGACAAAATGCGTTGCTACGATGGTGAGTAACCCACTTCCAACCAAGAGGTTGTGAGTTCGAGTTCCCAAGAGCAAGGTGAGAAGTTTTTGGAGGGAAGGATGTCGGGATCTATTTGAAAATAATCTCTTTACCCTAGGTAGGGACTCACAGTCTCCCCAAGAGCAAGGTGGAAAGTTTTTGGAGGGAAGGATGTCGGGATCTATTTGAAAATAATCTCTTTACTCTAGGTAGGGACTCACAGTCTCCCCGAGAGCAAGGTGGGAAGTTTTTGGAGGGAAGGATGTCGGGGATCTATTTGAAAATAATCTCTTTACCCTAGATAGGGATAAGGTCTACGTACACGCTACCCTCCCCACTAAGTGGGATTATATTGGGTGGTTGTTGTTTGTCTCTCCCCTTTTACCTTTCCGTTTATTTTGCTTTCTCCCGCTCATATTCATATGCTAGAGAGGGCAGAATCGTTTGTGGGACCAGAAATGCGTGTCTCCTGCATTCTCAATTGGAATAGAGGACAGAGTTAAAAAAAAAAGTAAGTAAGTAATTTTCAATATCCAATCTGGAATAATTTTCTTTTTAGGAGTGAAGAGATTAATCCTTGCTAAGTTGATTTTCTAGATCTGATTTGTTTTCTTACTTTTTTACTTTTTTTATCCTTATATCTTCGGGCATAAAACATAGTGAGTTTTTATTCTCCTTTTCCTCAAGTTTTCATCGCCTTTAATGTTAATTTTGTTAAATTTCGAATATGATTTTGTGAAAAATTTAGAGTGGGTATTGTTTAAATTTATTAGAAATAGTTTAAAAGGACTGTTAAGGCTGTATTGTGGTCCGAGCCTAGTCCGGGACCGGCCCAGGCCTACGAACTCACATGGGCTTTGGGCTAAACGGGCTGGCCCATATGATTCGGGCCTAAGCGGTCCTAGGAGCTCACTGTTGCCGGTCCAGCATGGAGAGACCGCGAGCCCGGGACCGACTGGCGGACCTGGGCCGGTTCAACCGGGCCTAACGCTTCCAACGACTATTTTTCAAAAAAAAAAATTTAAAAATTAGCCAACGGTTGGAAGTTTAAAAATTAGTCGTTGGCCTGCCAATTTAGCCGTTTGGCTTTTTAAAAAATAGTCATTTGCCTCCCAAACTTTATTTTAACCCCAAAATTTTTATAATTACACTTTTCCCTATTCTCAACTATAAATACACCCTCATTCTTCATTTTTACTAACAAAATCATCAATCTCTCTCTAATTTTCTTCTATAATTGCTTACTTTATTATTGCAATTGTGAAGTTGGTGAATTGAAGTATTCAAGTCTTCAACGATATACAATTTTCAAGAAGTTGTTCGTCAATTCGGTAAACTCGTTCCAACTATTAAGTTTTAATATTATAGTTTTGTTTGTTTTAGTTTGTATAATTATAATTAATATGACCTTTTCTTTGGAAAAAATATTTGGTGGCAAGGGAAAATCTAAAGTTGATGAATCTAGTGGCCAAGCTACTACTCCTCCCCCGGCTCCCCGACCTAGACCTGTTACCCGTCCTCCTCCACCTGTTATTCTTGATAGTGTTCCCTTGTTTTCAATTTACCGATAGTCAATTTTACCATGCTATTGCACCACGTCAACAATTAAATGATGAATATATGAATGCTTTTTATGATAATCCAACTATCGATGAAAATAATGAGGAAAATGATGATTTAGATGAAACGCAACCGGATTTAGATGATACACCTACTAGTCATTATTGTTAACCCAACTGATAAGAATCCAAATGATGCCCCGCCTGACCCTCCTGTAGCAACCCCTACTTTTAATAGACAACCTTCTAGATGTTGCGAAACATCTCTTGTTTGGCACTTTTTTATTCAACTAAGAGATCAAAATAAGACTAAGTGTAAAACTTGTGGGACTTTGATGACTCATAAATTTACTGGAGACCGTAGCGCTACGGGTAGTTTGACTAGACACATAAAAACATACCCTAAAGATAAAGCTAGATTTCTTCAAATGAAAGCTGCGCAAGAGGGGACAAGTGTGGGTACTCAGGTTAACCCTAGTACCGGGTCAAATCTAGTTCAACCGAGAATTAACACTGTTGCCGGTGACATTTTATATTACGATCCAAATAAAGATCATGAAGAATTGGCAAAAATAGTTACTATTATGTGCTTACCCTATAGTTTTCCTTCTAACCCTCACTTTGTGCATTATATTAGAAGAATTTTTAATCCTACTTATAAAGGATGACCTCGCACAACCATAAATAGCGATATTTGTAAATATAAACATGAATATGAACAATATTTTCGCTATTTATTTACTCATATAAATTGTCGTGTTGCTATTACTACTTATATTGGTAGAAGTGGTAATGACTGTGATTATCTTACTGTTACCATTCATTGGATTGCTGAGGAATGGATAGTGCAAAAGCGCATTTGCTTATAGAATAATTAATTCACGTCACACAGGTAAGTTTATTGTTAACACAGTTGCAAATATTTGTAGATATTTTTGCATTAGAGATAAAATAATGTCAGTTTCAATGGATAATGCTTCTAGTAACACTAATGCTATAGACTTGCTTACAACTACACTAAATCCTGTATTTAGTAATATTTTTTATGTTAGATGTATTTGTCATATTTACCATTTAATTGTCGGCGATGGTATGAAAATTTTAAATGTTGAAATTGAAAAGGTTAAAATGGCTCTTAATTGGCTTTTTTATTTAAATCGTAGAAGTAGACTTAGAGAATATTTTTTAAAATGTGATGAATTTGGCCTTAGAGAAAGAAAGGTTCTTAAACCTTGTCGACTAGATGAAATTACATGTATGAAAGTTTAGTTGTTGCATATGCATATAGAAACCCAATAAACGCAACATTTAGTGCTCGTGTTGGTGGTGGTGACGATGATGATGATGATGATGTGATGAGCACCTTACAAATCAGGATTGGACTAATGTTAAAATTCTTGTAGAATTTTTAGAACAATTTCATGTTGCTACAAATGAATTATCTGGGCAATATTATCCTACTATTTCTAACTGTTTAGTTTATATTGCAGAACTTGTAAATTTGTTTACTCAATTTTCAGAGGGTGAGTAATTTATCAACTTGCTATTGATTTTATGAAAGATAAGTTTAAAAAATATTTTTTCCCTATCCCCCCTATTTATGGTGTTGCTGCCATGTTAAATCATACCATGAAATTAGGAGGTCCTTACTTTTGGTATACAAATATTTATAAGGCTTTATCACTTTCAGATGAGGAATTTGCTACACTTGCAGATGCAAAAGCCTCAATTAAAATAAATGCTCAAACAATTTATAATGCTTATCAACTTGCCTTATATCATGCTAGACTAAATGTTCCAACTCCTACTTCGTCTAGTTCGCAATCTTCTAAAAGAACTGGGGGCCTAAAAGCACTTAGTTCTTTGACGAGGTTCGGGGGTTCTCAAGGTGATAATATTGGTGATAGTTCACAACTAAATGAGCTTCAAGTTTATTTGTCACAAGGACTTGAATCAGAGAATCTTGGCGGCTCGTTTAATGTTTTGGAATGGTGGAAGGACAAAGAAAAATACTATCCGGTTCTTTCAAGGATAGCTCAAGATTTTAAGTATTCAAGCTTCAACAGTGGCATCGGAGAGCACTTTCATTCAAGCGAGACTTCAAATCGGTGATCATAGAGCGTCTATGAGGGAGAGCTTGAAAAAATCAGTACCCTTCAGAGATTGGATCCGTTCGAAAAGAAGAAATTTTGGACTTGCTGAATCATAACTGGAGATAGACGAAGCTTATGAAGAAATTCTAGCGGAACTTGCGGAGGATGTTGCTTCGCCTAGAAGCGGTGATGAACAAGCTTCTTTTCTGCCACCACCAACGAAAATTCCTTCGAACCTTGAAGGATTTATGAAATTTGTTAGAGATAATATGTAGACTAATATGTAACTTGTATTTTGACACATCTTCATTAGTTTTTTTTCCTTTCAATGGTGGTATTAGCACCTTGTTGTGCTCATTCAATTGGGGGGAGAAAGACTAAGAAAGATATTGTCATTTTTTGTTAATGTCGTAATAATAAAAATTATAAGGCTTTCCCTTGAATATTTCTTTACAATTTTTTTGTGTTTAAATTTGAATTACAAGATTTAAGCCACAATTATATAATATAATTTACAAGAAATTGCCTTAGATAAAAAAAATTTAAAAAAATAGCTCGGAACACTTAGGCCTATGGGCCCAGCCCACTTAGCGCGGGCCCATGTGGGCTTAGGCCCACAGTGGGCCGGTTCCACCCTCCAGGACCATTAAGCCCGAGACCGTTTGGACAGGGACTGCTTGGGCCCGGGCCGCCAGAGCCCAGGACCGTTTGACCCGGCCCGTTTAGCCCATTTAGGCCCGGGCCCGGACCATATAACAGTCGTACCCACTTTGGCCTTGGGGATAGGAACGGAGGAGGTACGTCGTTGCTAGACTTCGCTAAGGCTTTCGAGTTGGTGATTGCGAACTCGACTTTTCAGAAGAGGGAGGAGCATTTGGTTACTTTCCAAAGTTTGGCGGTGAAGACCCAGATTGATTACCTTATCCTCAGAAGATGTGATAGAGGGTTGTGCAAGGATTGCAAGGTTATCTCGGGAGAAACCCTCGCGACTCAACATAGGCTCTTAGTGATGGACATCGGCATTATGATGAAGAGGTATGCTCGTAGCCGACCGAGGATTAGATGGGGAGTTTTAACCAAGGATAAAGCCTAGGAGT